GCTAGCCTGTGAGTACTGTAGCAAGTTGCATGGAAGCTTTTAGGATAGAATTCTTTGTGAGCCCTGCTCTTTGTCTTACTTGAGAATGAGAATGGGAGTCAGGAGGATAACTAATATTATGAAAACATGCTTAATAAAAGATCTTATCACTATCTTTCAATGAGTTGCTTTTATTCTTTTCCCTCTAATGTAGGAAGCATTTGGATTCATTCTATATAATTGTCTGATTTCCCCAATTCCAAAAAAAAGGATTGGTGTTTCTCCAACCTAGCTTTCTTTGCATTTCTATGCAGTTTTTTTTTTTTCTGAGACAGGGATTATAATGAGAGCAATTCAAGGCAGAGGGAGGACATAGTTCTGACCTGTACTCATAGCTTTGCTTTGAGAAGTGTATGCCTTTGTTATTATAATTAATCTGTTCTTAACTCTTTCTAGTCATTTATTTAAATATTAAATAGGAAGTTAGTTGCTAATATATGTATAGAAAGACTTCAAACTAGGGCATAGTCAGAGTACAAAATTGCTTTTCAACATAGGAATACATACATGGCTAGTCCTTATGTTTAGTTTGATAAGATAGTTGATACAATTATGTAGACTCTGGAATTCATTCATGCAAAGTGAATCAGAATCATGATAATTCGATTTTGGTTTGTTCTAGGTGAATTTTGTCTTTGGATCCAAGAGGTTAAAGCTTCAAAATGCTTGTGAACTGCCTTGCAAAGTTAAACATCCTCTGTCATAGATGAACAAACTAAATCACAGAAAGCTTAAATTGTCCACATTTTGGGATGCAGAGTAATCCTAAGCAGCCCACTAGATAATAGGAGTGCATATGAATATCGTGAATATTTCTTAAAACTAATTTGTGCTTTTGTTAATTTCTACTCTGCTCAGCTTGGTTGATAAAAGCCCATTTTTGTGCTTCACTCAAAACATATATTTTTTCAGACTCCATTACCACCACCACTACTACCACACAGCACAAATGTACTTTTCCTATTATATAACAATGCTCTCTGAATTACATTTTATCAGGTATTTAAAACTCTTCAGGAAAAGGTAATGTGTAACCCAAAATAGAGTTCTTTTTAATACTAGCAATACCAGTATTATAATAATTGAGAAAGACAGAGATGAATTAAACACTACTTCCCTTACACAAAAGCCAAATATATATTCTTTTCTAATCTAAGAGCTTTTCCCCAGCTAGCTAATTAAGAAAGTGATTAATAATTCAACAGATACATATACTTGGGGGTTTGAGGAAAATAATTGTTAGCTATCCCATGATAACTGTCTTTAAATATTTGAAGGGCTGTCATGTAGAGAAAGAATTAGACATCTTGGATATAGAAAAAGGATTAGTCATGTTCTGTGTGGCTCTAAAGAGCTTAATTTAAAATGATGGGTAAAAGTCACACAGAAGCCTTTTAGGTATGACTGAAAATGTAATCAAATGACCCTTGAAGTAGGGCCATCATTGAATTGTTTAAACAGAGGACAAATGGCTACTGATTGGGTTTATTTGTAGTTGGAATTCATGCTTTGTCCAAGGATAGAATGAGATGAGCTCTGAGTTCTCTTCCTACACTGGGGTTCATAGATTCTTTTTTTATATCATTGTCACTGATTAATCTACCAATCAACAAATCAACATTTATCAGGCAACCTACTATGTGGTAGTCACTGTGGTGGACACCAGAGATACAATGACAAAAGCAAAACAGTCCCTGCCTACCAGAAATGTACATTCTATCAATTTAATGGTAGCATAAGTCTAACTTGGTCAACAAAACAAGGAATACCCACATCAATATTTTAAAGAGCTTTATGATGATTGTTTAATATAGAAAACATTTCATTTATTTCCATACTTTTTTTTCATGTTTTCTTGTTGCTTAATGGGCATTTAAAATTCTAGGTAATAGTTTTCTTTTCCACCATCTTGGAGAGTTGCCTCTTCAAACTATTCTTGGCTTGTTTACCTGCAAAGATTTCTCACTGGGACCTATCCTTCTTGATATCTAAATCATTTCCTGGCAATAAATTAATGAGCTAAAAGGAAGCCCATTAGCTTTTGGGGGCCATGTGATGCCATTAGTGCAGCAAATTTTTTAGATCATGTAATTAATAGCATTTCAGGCTCTTGTGGCCTGAAAGGTCATCCTTCTAGGAAATAACCAATTATTTTAAATTGTTTGATAATATATTACACCAAAGAAATGTGCCACGTTGGATAGACTATACCTAGTTCTTGAGTCAGAAAGGATTCAAGTTCTATTCTTGTGTGATCACGGAAAAGCCATTTAACCTCTAAGTGCTCTCAAGCCACTTAGGAAAATTCTAAGTTATAGATAAATTAATTTATATCCATGGAAGGAATTTCCATAATAGAAATTTTCTGTCAAAAAATCATCAGTATGGGATAGGGACAAAAGAGGGGGCCTGAATCTGAATCTATGGTATGAGAACTCTAGAAGATAGAATTCTCTCTGCCAGTGTAGCTTGTCACCCTCTCTGAATCTTAGTCTTAGAGAGTTATAGAGAGCTCTGAGCGGGTAAGTGACCCACGGTCATGCAGCTAGTATGTGTCAGAGACTCAAAGGCTCTGCTCATGGCACTCTATCCATTACACCAGAAAGGCAAAAGAACATATGAACTATGCCTCTACCTTTCAAAAATAATGCAAGCCATCTTTTTATGATGTTTTAAGGTTTACAAACTACGTTGCATACATTATCTCCTTAAAGCCTAACAACAACCAAGTAAAGAAGGTCAGATAAAGATGAGGAAACCGAGGTTTTCCTTTGGTCACATGTTGCACTTTTGTTCTTCAGTCATGTCTGACTTGTCATGACCCTATTTGGGGTTTTCTTGGCAAACATACTGGAGTGGTTTGCCATTTCCTTCTCCAGCTCATTTTACAGATGAAGAACTGAGGCAAACAGAGTTAAGTGACTTCCCCAGGGCCACACAGCTAGTAAGTGTCTGAGGCCAGATTTTAACTCACAAAGATGAGTCTTCCTGACTCCAGGCCTGGCACACTATCCACTGAACCATATAACTGCGTAGCTAATATATATTCAAGGCGGGGTTCTCAACAAACTGTCTTTCAATCCCAAGCCCAGCATTTTTTGCCCTCTGCTGCATGCTATCAACAACAAAATGTTGGACGTCCTACTGCAATGTTCAGGGTTTTACCATATGCTGGAACATAGTTTCACTTTGTTAGATGTTTAAAGCTCACTGAAAAGATGAATGAAATATGGATCCTGCCTTCAAGCCTTTTACAATCTAGTAGGAAATACATGGTATGTGAAAAATAATTATAACCCAAGGTAGCATATGATAGTTGCCGTACACACATGCAGTTGTATTATATATATATATATATATATATATATATATATATATATAATTAAATAATGCATGTGTGTGTATATATGTATGTATACTAACAAATCAGGAGTCTTGAATTCGTCCTTGGAAGTTAGGACTGCTCCTAAATGACCGGATTAGCACAAGCCATTGAAGGCAACAGTTCACCGCAGAGTTAAGAATGGAGGCATCTTTGCTGCTACTATGAAGCATGACTCAATTCAGTCAACTCCTTTCAAGTCAATGCCAGGGCAGATTTGGTGGCAAGGGTATCAGTCTAGCATGTAGAATTGCTATCATAAATATCATAGTACCATGTTTTTTTGGTATCTCTGACTGAAAGGCTGACAGCAAAAAGATCCCCAGAAATGTGAACATCACGGGGCCCAGAAACTTCTGTCATCAGGCTGGAGAAAATTAGAGTCTCCTCTAGTTATTTTCCCCCAAAGGTTAGCAGTTACTAATTAATGAAGACAAGAGAATTTGAACTGATAAGGGACAATACCATATGGTACTGCATTCAGAAGATCCCAAATCCTTTTATCTCTTCCGAGGAAGTCTGCTGTTTGCAAGATACTGTTTTAAGCAGAGGAAGGGGGAAGGACCATCAGAATACACAAAGAGAAGCAGCCTTTTGGAAAGAATGCTAAAGAAGAAAATCATGAAGGGGGCGATTGTGATTTCTCTGACCCAAATAGTACCATGTATTGTTTTGCTTCTTGCATCCAAAATGCCAAACCCTTAATGGCAAAAGCTTGAAATATTTACAACTTTTTGAAGATAGCATAGGGTCTTGAACATCCTTCCCAATCTTTCTGAATGGTAAGATTCATACTTAAATGCATTTCTTCCACATTTCAAGACATCCATCCAATAGAATGGAAGGGAGGTAGAAGTTTCTCTTTTCAGAGTCTGTTTGGAAATAAGGATCATCTCCCATTAATTAGCTGTGTGACCTTAGGACAGTGATGTCTTAGGTTCCTTTTAACTCTAAAAGCCTCTGTCCAGTTCTAAGTAGATGGCATTTTCAGTTTCTCCCTAACAATTATATTCATTTTAAGTCTGTTGTTTTCTATCTGCCTGCTTCTATCTTTAAAATCTTGACCTTTTCCTCTCCTGGTAGTAATCTATTTCAAGTATGTGAAGAGCTGTCATGTAGAAGGATTGAATTTATCTTTCTCAGACTGAGTGAAACAAGAGCAATGGGTAGAAGTAATAGAAACACCGTTTTAGGCTCGATATGGGGGGGAAACTGCCTCATAGTCACATCTGTCCATCAGTGAAATGGGCTTCCTCGGGCAGTTATGGCTTCCCCTCATCCTTTACCAGAGATCTTTAAGCAAAGATTGAATCACTGTTTGTTGGGTATATTGCAGAAAGGATTCTTCTTCAGGTGGAAATTTGATTAGATGTGAGACTATATGATCTTTCCTTAGCAACCATGGTGTGACATGGAAGGAAGGAAATAATTATTTATTAAGCATCCTCTTATGTGCCAGGCACTGTGCTAAGAACTTTACAAATATCATCTCATTTAATCCTCACAACAACCCTGGATGCTATTATTATCCCATTTTAGAGTTGAGGCAACAGAGATCAACAGAAGTTAAGTGACTTACCCAGGGTCACACAGTAAATGTCTGAAGTGAAATTTGTACTCAGTTCTTCTTAACTTCAGGCTCAGCAACTTATCCCCTGTGGAGAGAAGGCAAGAAAGAATTACCCATAACGTCTTGGCTTTATTTAATATTTCCTACCTTGTTACTACACAATGTGTGGCTTTGAAGCCCTAGGCACAAGGTGGTGGAGGAATGACAGGGATGAAGGTGGGGGAGAGGGTACTGGAATTATTATCTTCATGATTCTCAAGTCCATCATTGATTTCTAACACAGGAGGCGATGATGCTATCTTCTCCACCTCTAGTAATAACAGAAAAAAGAGAAAATGGCTCTAGAGAACAGAATGAGGGCTTTAAGTTATATAAAAGGAAAATGTTCCTGACAGTAAGTGGTGTTAAATACAGAAACAGGTTATTACAGAAGAAAGTGTGAAAATCTCTGGAAGTCTTCAGAAACAGAATTGATGCTGACCTTCCTGAGATGCTTTATTTGTCCAAGGCAAGTGGGCAGATGCCCTGGACAGCATCTTAAGGTTCCTTTCCAGCCGTGAGACTAAAAGGAATTGAGAGCATTACTCCATAGTAGTAAAGCTACAGTTTTTCAATTTTTCTCTCCTTCTCTAAAGAGGAATGAGCAATTTAACATGAAAAATGACCAGATCTATTTTTAATAGGTTCTAATTACAGGAGTGGTCCTTTTGCCATGAGCTGGCTGACCTCAGCTCACATTAAGTTACCTTGCCTGAGGCTTGGAACAAGACAGGATATGTTAGATCCAAGGCAATTATGAAGCAAAGGGTAACTGTGATGGTGAAGACGAGGCCTTGGCTATTACCCATTAGAGCCTTCCATAGTCTATGCCAAAAATAATCCTCCCAAAAGATCAAACAGCTAAGGGGTGGCATCTGGTGGCTTGTGGGTCGTGCTGCTGCTGCTGCTGCTGATGGAGGGAATAAGCATAATGTATAAAAAATGTCTAGCTAAATGAATTGCACAATTTGTGTTTATTCTGTACATAAGATAACATGTAAAGTATGCACTGTGCACTAAATAATTTTGGAGTACTGAACATTTTCACACTGAGAAATTTTATCCTCAGATAATTAGGTCTGATAGAAAATCTCATCTGTTTTCTCTAGATCTCCATATCTTGTAGAATGCCTGCTTATGTGGTTGTGTTGATGTATCTAGGTAGAGATATCCGTCAATAATCCAAGAGGGAATAAGTGGAAAGGAAAGATTTCTCAGAATAATAAGACATTCCCTCAGAGCAAGGAATACGTAAAGAATCCTAAGCATCTCTTAAGGACTCATTTTGAAGGGATGAGTAGTTGCTTGGGAAATTTTCATTCATCCATTCCTTTATTCATTTGCTCAACTAAGATTTACTGATCACCTACTATGACCCAGGCAGCTAGGTGGTGCAGCGGATAGACTGATGAGCTTGGGAGTCAAGAAGAGCTGAGTTCAAATGCATCCTCAAACACTTACTAGCTATGTGATCCTGGGCAAGTCACTTAAACTGCTCCATGTCTCACTTTCCTCATCTATAAAATTGGGATAATAACAGCACCTACCTCATAATGCTGTTATAAAGATCAAATGAAATAATGAATGTAAAGTGTTTTGCAAACTTTACAGTGTTATACAAATACTAGCTATTACTTTTAAAGACTATTTTGATGGAATCTAAAGGAAATACAGCAGTGAGTGCCCCAGGGAGACGACAGTCTAGTGAGCAAAATAAAACGAATACACAAATATAGTGGTTTTTATAGTTTAAAGGTCTTTAAGATAAACATATAATTTAAATTCACTAATTAATTTAATATGATACTGAAATATAGGTAGGGCAGCTATAATTATCCCCATTTTGCAGATGAAAAACTAAGGCGGTAACCAAGTTATTTAGTTATTTAACTTAGAAGTTAAATAACTTTTCCAAATGAGTTGACTGCAACTAGTAGATGATGGAATTCAAGCCTGAGTCTTCTGACTCTAAATGTCATTTATCCAACATATGGCATTTATTGAATTTCATTTCTACTATGTCATAGTAGAAAAGATATAACTGAGTTGCATGGGATATTTCTTTTATCTTTAAAAAATGTTATTGATAGTTTTGTTTTTTGATAACCTATCCAGGAGAATGTTTTTCAAATTAGAATGTAAGAAGAAAATAGGCTGCGGGAACTTGAAGTCCAAGACAAGTAAGGGGAGAATAAAAGAGAACCTATCTTTAGTGTTGAATTCAAGTGAGCAGGTTCAGATGGCTACATAACAGAGTATTGAAATAACTTTGGTATTTTGCTGCTGAACTTTTATAGAGTGATCTTACAGAAATTATGAAGAATCTGAGAGATGCTTTGAGATTGGAGACAGGCAAATATACCAGTTTTCAAAAATGCATATAAAAGTAGATTATTCCAATTAATTTTGATTCCTAATAAAATTCAATAAAGCATTATTAAAAGTATTATTTCTGCACACTTAGGAAATCAATGCTCATCAAGAGCTGTTATATATAGTCTCATCAAGACCAAATGAAGCCAAAATTTACCTAGTTTCCCATTTTAGCAGAGGTATTAGACTGATATATTAGAGAAGGCAATGGACATAGTGTCCTGGAATTCAGGAAGGCATTTGAAAAGTCTTTTGTGACATATGCAAACATTATGATAGTACAGTGAGTGGAATTCAGAACTGGCTAAACACACAAAGTGCTGTAATTAAGAGAACAATGTTAAATTGGATGGAAGTCTATAGCGGAGTACCAGAGGGATCAGTATTTGGGTCAGTTCTCTTCATGTTTAAAAATCTTTAAAAATCAATAACTTGAAAAAAATTAAAAAAAATCAATAACTTGAAAGAAGGTAAGATGTCATGACTGTTAAATTTGCAAATGACAAAGTTAGAAAGGGTAGCTGACATGCTGGTCACCAGACTTGGTATCCAAAAGTATCTCATCAGGCTAGGATGATGGACAAATCATGATAACATAAAATTTAATAGATATACATTTATGATCATGCTTTTGGATTAAAAAATGAGATGCAGAAGTATAAGAGGGAGGAGAAATGACGAGTTCATGTGAAAAAGATTTGTGGATTTTATTAGAATGCAAACTCATTATAGGTCAACAATATGACATAGCAACCACAAAAAGCAATGGAAATTTAGGCTGCATTAAGAGAGGTATAATGTTCTGAATAAAGGAAGTAAAAATTCGATTAAACTGTGCTCTGGGGTTCAACCGCATCTGGATTAGTCAGTCAATATTTATTAAGTATCTACCATGTACCAGGTACTGTATTCAGCACTGGGGATACAAAAAGAGGCAAAAGACAGTCCCTGATCTCAAGGAGCTTACAATCTAACGTGGGAGACAACAAATACACATACATACACACACATATGTTTATGTTTATGTATACACACATATACATCCACAAAGCAGCTATATACAGGATAAATAGGAAAGAATTAACAGAGGGAAGGCACTAGAATTGAGAGATTCTGAAAAACTTCTTGTAAAAGATGGAGTTTTGTTTGCGACTTAAAGGAAGCCAAGGAAGTCAGCAGGCAGAATTGAGGAGGGAGAGTATTTCAGGCATGGGGGACAGCCTAAGAAAATGTCCACAGAACAGTGTCCAGTTTGAGGCACCACCATAGAAATGACATTGATCAGCTGAAGGATGTCCAAAGCAATGTAACTAGCACTGTGAGAATACCAGGAGCCATAGCATAAGGGGATCAGCTGAAGAACATAGTAAAATTAACCTGAAGTAAAGAATACTTGGAGACATTGTGATAAATGTATTTAAATACCGGACGCAACTTATTCTGTTTGGCCCCGGAGGGCAGAAGCAGGAGCAAAGCAATTGTACTGGATGAAGTCCAGTTTTGGAGATATCAAAGAGCACCATTTCTACTCAGGTGGGGATTGGACCAAATATCCTCTGAATTCCCTTCCAGCTATGCGAGAGGCAGTGGTGTAAAGGAAATGAGGCTTGGGGGTCAGGGCACTGGATTTAGAGTCAAAGGATCTGGTTTCCAATTGCCACTCTGCATCTTAGCTGCTTTGCTTTTGGTCTTCACCATAAATCTGGTAATGAGATAGACAGCTCAGCTAAGGTACCCCCAATGGTGAGATTCTCATTAGACCAGCAGTCACATAGTTAAGTCTTCTTTCCATCCTTGCTCATCAGCAGTGTTATGCATACCCAGGCACAGCATCTATCCGCAGGCGCACAGCGGGTAATTACGCTATTACAGCAAAGGTGTCAAACGCTGTGAAAATATTTGATTTACTTATAAGATCTAATTTAAATATGAAAAACATGGAAAATCAGTTGAGATTACACATTGAAATTCAGTACCTGGGTCTCTGAAAAGAACGTAGTCAATGGGTTAAGTACAAAATGTTTCCCCGAATAAAAACTCCAAATTATCTTTTGACGTTTCAGAGCTCAGCCTACAAAAAATAATCACCTATTGAGACTATCACATTTCATAGAACCACATAACATCTAGAACTAGAAAGAACATCAGTGATCATACTGTTCCAAGCCCCTCATTTTACAAAGGAAGAAAGAGAGGGATTTAGCTAAGGTCAGAGAGGGAGAAATAATAGAGCTGATATTCTTTCTTGAGTCTTTTGAGTGCCAGGTCTCCCTGTGAGTTTTAGTGTCTTCATCTCTAAAGTGGAGAAAATAATACATGCTCTCCCTCCCACAAAGAGCTGTTGTGAGGATCAAATAAGCTAATGGATGTGAAAATGATATACAATTTTAATATATTATTAGTATTATATAACATAGACTTAAAAGTGATGCTCTATCTTGTATATGCCTATATAATCTGCTCCTTTCATTTTCCTATTTGATAAGACTATTATTATTCTAGGGCCATATATCAGGCAGAGTGTGGATTAGCTCTGAATAAACAAGCAGTGTCCTTCTTGAAGGGACAATTCAAGAAGCATTTGTCAGGTACTTGCCACATGCAAGGTACTATGCTTGGAATCTGGCATGCAAAAAACAATGAGAAATAGTTCCCGCCTTCAAGGTGCTTGGG